TGACGAAAGGCTACAAAAGCGCCCACAGTTGCTTAATGTTTTTGAGACTTTATTATACGTAAATCGGTCATGTTTGTTCCTCAGTGTTCCCAAGTCTCTGTTTTTTCCGGTCAATGAACCGCTGAACAAACGAGAGAAGGAATATTCTCTAGAATCTGGAAATGAAATTGTTTTTGTTTGATTCCAAAATGCTTTCTTCCCGCTCCGTTATCATGATTTTGTTAGATTTTTCTACATCAGTTTCGCTCATTTTTGCCCTCTGTTAGTGCAAGTACCCGATCTATCCAGCGAGATGTCATCATGACAATATGCACGAGATGCCCAAACCATTGTTTAGCGCGAGCAGTTCATCCCTCCCGTACAACTTAGAGTTTTGTGCAAAAAAATACATGTGCAACTGACTCATCAGATGCCAGATTTCGAGAAAATTCTAGACAGGCAAGGTATAATTCATCAAATGGACATAGTTGCTTGTTCAGCAAACATTAAGGCCACTTATTGGAGTGAAGCTATGCTTGAAGTTCTTTTAAAGTTAAGCAGCAATTTCTTTGCTCGAAGCACTCGGAAGCGTCATAAAGTAAGTCTTTGGGGAAAGCAGTCGCGGGCTTGCCTCATCGGTCTTCCTCAAAATATGGCCAACGTGCAATACTATAATTGGGAAGATTATAGGCAGTCTACTAGTAGTTAAGAAATTGAGAAACAATAGATTAAAAGTCATTGGTGACGCGCACCGCGTGGATCCGTATGGTCATGTGTTTTTGCAGTATTTCGTGCTGTTTTCCTGGATCCCAAGTTAGCGATTTTTTCGCCGAGAAAATCTTTGAGTTCTGTTTGAACGGAGGGCATAACCGAAAAATTTCAGCTTTCTGGCTTTTCTGGTTCCCAAGTTAGCGACTTTTCCGCCAAAACTTTCACGCGATCGTACGCGGGGCCTAGACGTGCATGAGGGTTGGTACCGCGGTCCTGAGACGGTACTTGGTCAGGTTAGCAAAAACTTGACGCCGGAGCTTGCTTGGGTGTCGAGATGAAATACCTGGACAGACGTAGATACACGTACAAACACACCGGGTTTGTCCGAGTATGCGTTTCTGCATTTGTATACATGCAAAAACGCATAAAAAATGAAGGAATAAGTAAGACGGAGAAATTTCTGATACAGAAGTGTTTCGGTCCATTACGTGGTATGTGTTCCTTTAATGATTCCCACAACAAGCGCGAAATTTCGTCAATGAAATGAATAATCGACCGGGCGAAAGGACTAATAAGCTAACTGCTTTCGACGTTGGTGCCAGGCTTCCAGTTATCATACTGCAGTATCGCCAGGCACATCTGTCCCTTTTCGTCGATGTTCGGGTGGTAGATTGGCGTTGCTAGGCGCAGAATTGGTGGCTTGAACGGATACTCAGCTGGGAACGTTATGCGCAAATCGAACATACCATCGTTGTACGGAGGACGCGGCTAGAAATTTCACTATTAGAACTGTTTGTCTACAAAATCCATTTCATCAGAAGCGTCATTTTTTTTAGAAG